CTATCGGTAACTTACCAGGTACAAGAATGACTTGTAACTGTAATAGCTATGTACTAATCCATTATCCATTTTAAAATTTGAAAATTAGTGTGTATTAATGATACCTTCCCGAAATAATGCAATTTTCAATTGATAGAAATCGGAATACCAATAGAATGATTTATCTTAATGTCAGAGATTGTTATCAATATGAAACTAGAAAAGACATTCCTAGAATGGGTTCATATTTTTAATAGTGGCTGGGTTAGCGAATTCAACAGTGGATTGATTAATATTGACTATTTACTGTAATTTCATTTTACTCTAATTTAGAAGATAAGCATTAAAAAAAGCATTTATTAATCTAGGCATTTAGAATAAACGAGTCAAATTAATGAAGATTTGCTACAAAATTAATCTTTATATATGTATTTTTAATTTATACACCTTTCTATCTTTTACCATATCTACAAATTGCAACATCTAAAAAAAAAAAAAAAATTACGTATCAGTTTGAGCCTGATATAGAAAAAATCTTGATTTCACCTTACAAATAACATGGTTTATATTTATACATAGATTGTTAATCAATTTACATATTTCTAGAATTGATGAAAATACCCAAAGCTCTTAGAATACCGTATTTTACTATGCAAGATACTCCCCTTGACTTATACCAGGTAAATTTCAAAGTCATCGAGCATAGTATTTTGTAAGATACCTGGGTACGAATCAATAACCGCCATTCTTTAACTTTTTATATATCAAGCAACAAATATTATTTAATTTTCTAAGATTACTACTTTAGAACCATTCATTAAGTATTCGAAATCGTGTGTTTCACTAGCTTTTATTAGAACAATATCAACATTCCTAGTATGGAACAAACAATGAAGTCATTAATGTTCTTCCACAACCATTTTGATATTGTGATCTAAGTGTCCAAGGTAAAAATGTTCTGGATGTCTATTATTTTGTAGCAGTTAAATTATCACCTTCAACACTTCACATTTTTGCAATACCATGAAATATCAGAAGATTAAAGCACAGGTAAATATATTTTAGTTATGCAATATGCAGAAATAGAAACTTTACATAAGAATCTTTATGAAGCTGTGGAAATGAAATAGAAGAAAAAATTAGAATTATTACCATAAATTACATTCAACGTTTAATTTATTCGAACATTAACATTATTCATTTATGATTTACATAGCGGAAATATATCAGAGATTTAGGACTTGCAACATCGGTCAATAAACATTGGGCAAAGAATCCGGGGGATTTATAGAGCTTTACTATGTATAACGAAGGTTTGCAAGAAAAACATTCACCAAGGCATCAAACATTTTTTTTTTTCGGAATGGCTATGTTGGAAGACCATCAGAAAAGTTCGGTAATCTAAAACTGGAAATAGAAATTCGAGAATATTTGAGACTAGTGATGGGACCCAAAGCAAATAATGGCATTGCCGCATATTGGACTTGGATTAGCGTTAGAACATTTGACAAAATCCCAAATGTCTACCCAAATAATAATTTAATAATTCGGAATGAGATTGCACTTCAATCTATTGAATGCAATGACATATATATTCTGACTGACTTAGAATTTTCTGCATGCTAATATATCGATACGTATTAATTTAGCAATATAAGTATAAACGTTTAAATTAGTAATTACCTTATCATTTTATCTATTATAATAACTTTCGAACTAACTGATTAAAAATTATTCATCTAGATTTTAAATTAATAACAAATTGAATTTATTGAATCCAAGATTTAAATTACAGAAGTATATACCATATACTGTAATTTGGGACCTTGTTACGACAAAGCCCAAAACTAGTTGCTAATTTGGGATACGGGATACAGTATGCCAAAACTATGACTAAATTTCGGCAAAGCCCAAACTAGTTTTGCAAATTTGGATTATGTCATGTATGACTAATCACGGCAAAGTCCCAAAAGTTTTGCCAATTTGGGATACGGCATGTAGGGATGTTAATCGGTCCTTTGGGACCGAATCCTGACCGATCCTAACCAATCCTTTCAAGGATCTGTAAGGATTCG